TCTGTCCGGGTGCTATCGCTTCCTACATACTTGCAATGTCATTTTAGGTCACTCCAGACTTAAATGAAAGGGGGCAAGTTGCTGGGAAGTTGAGGGAGCAATTAAAGGACAGTTGTTGACTTGTTTCAAAGAGTACCTACCCTATGGTTCTATATAGGTTGGCTGAACAAGCAGCCTATATTGTATAGCTTTTGGTCTGCCCAAGTGTGGTCCAAGTCAGGTAACCAAGGGCAGAACGTGGGAGGAAAGAAGAAGTCCTTTCTCAAGTCCAAAGGCTTGTCTATTAAAGGGGAAGAAGAAGCAAGACAAAGTGAGAGAGGAGAAGTAGCTGGAAACTAGTGAGTCAAGTAAAATAGAGAATTCTCAAGTGTATCAAGGTGTGAGCAAGGGTGTGAGAGAAACAGATTGTGAGGGTAGTGTTCTAAGGGGGTTTCTGTGTAAACTAAAGTTGTAACCTATCTTCATTAGTGAAATTTCACAAGGGGATCACCAAAGAGGATGTAGGCAAATTGCTGAACCTCTATAAACACTTGTGTCATTTGTGCTTGATTTATTTTGTGTGTGTGTGTGTAAGATTCATCCATCATTGAGTGCTGTCCAAAGTCCATCAACAACAAGGTCTAAAGGGGAGTGAGTTGGTTCTAATTCACAACAAGTGGTAGCAGTTCACGGCAGCTAAAGCAACCACAGGCAGCAAGCATGAAGGTGGAGTTAAAGCCTTTCACAAGTAAGGAGAACTTCACTCTTTGGCAACGAAGGATGAAGTCAGCTCTTACACAACAACATCTCTATGTTGTGTTGGCAGGCAAGGAGAAGAAGCCAACAAGCATGACAGATGATGAATGGGGTGTACTTGACGAGTTAGCTAGAGGAGCCATCGAAAACTACCTCTCCGATGAGGTACTCATCAATGTGATGAAGGATACATTGAAGCAAACATGGGAGAAGCTCGAAGAGATGTTTGCAAGGAAGTCGCTGTCCAACAAACTCTTCCTCCAGGAAGAACTCCTAAATCTTAAGATGGAGGAGGGAGGTAATCTAATGGAACATTTAAGTAGTTTCAATAGATGTGTTGCTGACTTGCAGAGAATGGATGTTAAGTATAGTCCGGAGGATAAGGCTCTTATGTTATTGACATCCTTACCTCCGTCCTATAAACACTTTCGAACCACACTTATGTTCGAGAAGGTTACTCTGGATTTTGAGCCTGTGGTGCAAGACATCATGACACACCATAGGATGGCCCAACGTTCAGGAGAAAACTCTCAAGGTGAAGGTCTAGTTGCTAAGACTGGGGAGAGAAGCCGTTCAAAGAGACGTGAAGGCAAGAAAGGCAACAGAGGAAAGTCCAAATCTAAGGCAAAAGAAGGTTGTTTCGAGTGTGGGTCAAAGAAGCATTGGAAAAAAGAATTGCCCCATATGGAAGGAGAAGAAGAACAAAAGAAAGAATGCAGCAAACACAGCTGAGGAAGTCAAAGAAAGTGATGGTGAGCTTTTATGTGTTAATAGAAATGTTAAAACTAATGCATTTGCTAATTCTTCAAGGTGTTCCTCTTCTTATTGGATTTTGGATTCCGGATGCTCAAACAAGGAGTGGTTTGACACATATGAAAAAGAAGAAGGTAGTGAAGTTATGATGGGGGATGGCTCAATTTGTAGAGTCAAAGGCACTGGTACAATCAAGGTGAAGATGCATGATGTGGCTATTAGGATGCTTGGAATGGTAAGGCACATTCCAAAGTTGCGTAAGAATCTCATTTCCCTTGGAACTCTTGATAAGAATGGTTATTCGTTTAAAGCTAATGGAGGGAAACTCATAATCTCAAAAGGTTCACTTGTGGTTATGAAGGGAGAGGTTCAACCTAATTGTCTATATAGATTGTGTGGTACAACAATTACAGGTGGAGCAGCTGTATCCACAAGCAAGGACTCGGAAGATGAAACTCAGCTTTGGCATTTGAGGCTAGGGCACATGAGTGAAAGGAGTATGCAGGAACTACACAACAGAAAGTTGTTGAAAGGTGTTCAAAGTTGCAAGCTTGAGTTCTGCAAATTTTGTATCATGTGAAAGCAATCGAAAGTAGCTTTCAAGTAGCGAAACAAAGAGGAAGGTAGCACAGGGGTGCTAGATTATATTCACACAGATGTATGGGGGCCATCACCGGTTAAATCAAAGGGTGGAGCTCGCTATTTTGTGACTTTCTTGGATGATTTTTCCAGGAAGGTTTGGGTCTACTTCATGAAGGAGAAATCTGAGGTCTTCACCAAATTCAAAGAGTGGAAGGCAGAAGTGGAGAACCTAACCGGAAGAAAGATCAAGATCCTAAAGAGTGACAATGGTGGTGAATATAAAGACAGCAAGTTCCTTGAGTTTTGCAGGAATGAAGGCATTAAGAGGCACTTTACCGTGAAGAAGACGCCCCAACAAAATGGAGCTGCGGAGAGGATGAATAGACCTCTCATGGAGCGTGAGAGATGTATAAGAATTCATGCAGGATTGCCCGAGTCATTTTGGGCAGAGTCAGTTAACCACGCTGCCTATTTGGTTAACCGATCGCCTTCAAGAAATCTTGAGTTCAAATGTGCAGAGGAGGTATGGTGTAATAAGTCAATTGATTATACTAATCTTAAGGTGTTTGGATGCAGTGCATATGCACTTATTCCTAGTGATGAAAGATCCAAGTTGAAGCCAAAGTCTCTTGAATGCATTTTCATCGGATTTGAGAGTGGGGTGAAGGGCTACAAGCTATGGGATCCAGTGAACCAAGTTCCACTCAAGAATTTGTCAAAGAAAACTTCACAAGAGCAGACAACTGAAGACGTTCAGGAGGAGGTGGAGTCTGACTTTGAGGAGGAAGATGCTGGGCAATAGCAACAACAAACTCAAGAAGAAGAAGAGGCTCAAGAACAGGTGGAGCCATCATCTATAGCTCAATCCAGGCCCAGGAGAACCATCAAACCACCTCAAAGGTTTGGATGGGAGAAGGATGCAGTTCACTATGCTTTGAATGCTAGTGAAGAAGAACCAACTACGTTCCAAGAGGCTGTTGAGAACAAGGAACGGAAAAGTTGGATGGAAGCTATGATGCAAGAGATGGAATCTCTACACCAAAACTCAGTTTGGGAGTTAATGATAAGTCCATATTTTACATATATTTTATGCCTCCTTTACTTATTTATTTGTTAATTTTCTTGGATTAAATTGTTGGGTTTAATGTATTTTGTGAGAATTTTGTAGTTGATCCCTAATTTACGGCAAGGATTAATTGGAGACAGAATATGTTTCTTAGAAGGCAATCAACCAGTCAAAGCTTAAAGGAGGAAGTTTGGTTAAATCCTTGTGGAATTTGGAGAAGCAATCAAAGAGCTATTGGGAAAGTTATTGGGAAACCTACTTTTGGTAGTATTTGATTGTAATTAGGTTAAGGATTTGTGTATTATAAATAGCATAGGGCTGGCCTCATAGAGGGGATCCATATTTTCACTACCCGAAAATACCCAATTCTTGCAAAAGAGAAATCCTGCTGCCGCCAGCCACCTCGGAGCTTTTTGGGAGTTTTCAAGTTCATCTTCATGTCTACCATCAACCACTATGTGATTCTCAATAAGTTTATCATGTTCTAATTTCCTTTTTTCTAGGGCTACGATGTAGCCTAGCCATGAATACCTTATTTCTGTGTTTATGTTAATTTGATATTATTTTCCATATTAAGTATCATTTACCGTTCTTAATGCTTTGAGTGCTTGATCACCACTTAATTGATTTGATGCTTGAGTTGATGATAGGAATATCCAACTTAGGATTTTGCTTCTAGTAATTGATACCACAGGTTACTTGAGTGAACTGAAAGGTTAATCGTGGCTTGTGTGATTTCCTTAAATTTCCATAGAGCTTAACGGGTTTCTACTTCTTAGTTCTTCATCTAGACATAGAGTGGGACGGTTGTAGGAACACTTTTGGTATAGACAGGCATGTCATATTGAATAATTAAGGGAAATTTATCATTAACATGGATAATAATTAGGATTAACTGGCTACAGGAATATGGTAGAATTGGCAATGGTGTAGTTGGAACCCTAGTGCTCATACCATCATTGTTTGCCGAATTTTATTATTGTTTATGTTAGTTAATTCTTGTTAATTGCTTACGTAATTCAAATCAAAGTCTCACCATTCGAACATCCAGATAAAGTTTAAGATTAATCATAATCAGTACTCAGTTAATTAGTCTTAGTCTCTGCGGAACAATACTCACTTACCACTACACTATTTTGCTACGATTTCGTGCGCTACAATTTTATTAACAGTTACTTCATGAACCCAAAGGTCGCAAGGTTATTGGCTGCAAATGGGTGTTTAGGACTTGCTTAGTTAGTGCATGAGTTTTGGAAGACGTTCGCAGACATCTAACCTTATACCTTTAGACCCTGAAATCGAGAGGACGTTTCACAAGTGCAATCGAGTTAACCAAGCAAGACCCCAGCAAAATCCGACAAAACCAGCCACCATGGCTGAAGCGCAAAGGCAGGTTAGAGAATTTGGCACTCCCACCGCCGGATCAACGAGCATTCGCCGCCCCACAATTGATGCCAACAATTTTGAAATTAAGCCAGCAATCCTGAGCATGATCCAACATAATTCCATCTTTTGTGGCCTGTCTCATGAGGACCCCAACACCCATATTTCGAATTTTTTGGAGATATGCGATACATTCAAGATTAATGGAGTTTCTAGCGATGCCATTCGCCTGAGACTTTTTCCATTCTCATTGAAGGAGAAAGCAAAATCGTGGTTGACTTCTCAACCACCCAATTCAATCACTACATGGGATGATTTAGCTACAAAAATTTTGGCTAAATTCTTTCCTCCAGCTAAGACAGCACGGCTCCGCAATGAAATCATGACATTCGTACAATTCGACAAGGAACAGATGTATGAAGGTTGGGAGAGATACAAGGAGCTGCTTTGCAAATGCCCATACCATGAGTTACCAAAGTGAATGCAAGTCCAAACATTCTACAATGGGCTAGACGCTACTAGCAAAACTCTCATTGATGCCGCAGCTAGAGGAGCCTTGATGGCCAAAACGCAGGATGCAGCATACGAGTTGCTTGAGACCATGGCATCCAACAGCTATCAATGGCCTAGTGAACGTGCAATGCCTAAGAAAGCTGGAGTTCATGACGTCAACGCAATAACTGCATTAACTGCACAAATTTCTACTCTCTCTAAACAACTTGGTTCATTAAATGTCAATGCTATTCAAACCCCTAATGCTATTTGTGAATTTTGTGCAAGAAGTCACCCTAGCGTTGATTGCAACAATGGGAATCCATTTTCTGCACTTGAGCAAGTAAACCAAGTTGGAGATTTCAATCGTCAAAGGAATAATCCATATTCCAACACCTACAACCCAAGATGGAAAAATCACCCGAATTTCTCTTCGAGTAATAACCAGAATGCACAGAAACCACCCCCAGGATTCCCACTTCAAGAGAAAAAGGTTGAGTTAGAAGACATACTCACTCAACTTGCTAGAAATATGAGTACTCTCTCAAATAACACCAATCAATTTATGAGCAAAACCAAGACCACATTACAAAATCAAGCGGCCTCTATAAGAAATTTGGAAGTTCAAATGGGGCAGTTAGCTCAAGTTTTGACAGAGAGAGAGTCAGGTACATTGCCCAGCCAAACGGAAGTAAACCCAAAGAATTTGGAGCAAGCTAAGGCCATTACATTGCGGAACGGACGACCAATCAAGACAACCGTTGATTTGGAACAAGAGCACGCTAGAGAGCTTCCTACCGCAAGCAAGGAGCAGCAGAAGAAAGTTCCAGCAGCGGCCAATGCTGTTCCAGCAGCTGCCAAACAAGATGGTCCAACTGGACAACTGAGAGCCACATCCTATGTCCCTGAAATTCCATTCCCACAACGTTTAAAGAGCAAGAAAATTGAAGAGCAATTTGAGAAATTTTTGTACATTCTTAAGAAATTGGAGATCAATATTCCTTTCATTGATGCGCTGGAACAAATGCCCACATATGCCAAGTTCATGAAAGATATCATAACTTCAATGAAGAAATTGGGGAACAACCCCATAGTAAAGCTGTCCAAGAGATGTAGTGCCATCTTGCAAGGCCAAAAACTGCCAGAGAAAAAGAAAGATCCAGGGAGTTTCGATATACCTTGCACAATTGGTTCTATTTATTTTGATAAAGCGCTGTGTGATTTAGGTTCTAGCATTAATTTAATGCCCTTATCTATTGCTAGAAAAATGGGTTTGGGGGAGGAAATTAAATCTACTTCTGTTTCTTTGCAGATGGCGAATAGATCAATTACACTACCCAAAGGCATGATCGAAGATGTGATTGTTAAGGTTGATACCCTTGTCTTTCCCGCAGATTTTCTTGTCATAGATATGGAAACCAATGGCGATACACCAATCATCTTGGGCCAGCCATTCTTACTCACTGGGAGGACCCTAATTGACGTTGAACAAGGTCTTGTGGTTTTAAGGGTAGCAGACAAGAGTGTGGCAGTCAATGTGTATAAAGCGTTACTCTATCCAGAAAGTGAAGAAACATGCATATTGATGGACACATTGGAAAGAGATATATCCTCCCACTTTGAAAAAGAACATCCATGTGATCCATTAGAGGCTTGTTTAGTCCACAACAATAACAAGGAGACGGCAAATCAGGAAATTATTCAGATGGCACAATACTTGGATGCATCAAAGCCAAAAATTAAAGATAAGTGGCCGGAATTCGAACCACTCGGTGAAGCACCCCCTAAGCTGCAACCAAGCACCATTGTTGCCCCCTCCTTGGTCTTAAAGCCTCTCCCATCACATCTAAGGTATGCTTTCTTGGGTGAAAATAATACTCTTCCTGTCATTATTGCTGCTAATTTGAACACTGTAGAGGAAGAGAAACTGTTAAAAATTTTGCGACAGCACAAAGCTGCCATAGGATGGACAATTGCAGATATCAAGGGAATTAGCCCTTCCAAGTGTATGCACCGCATTTTATTGGAGGACAGTTTCAGACCTTCCATTGAGCATCAACGCCGACTCAATCCAAACATGAAGGACGTTGTCCGAACTGAGGTACTTAAATTACTAGATGCAGGTATTATTTATCCTATATCTGATAGTAGTTGGGTGAGCCCTGTGCACGTTGTGCCAAAAAAAAAGGAGGGATCACTGTTGTCAAAAATGAAAACAATGAGATGGTGCCGACCCACACTACAACTGGATGGATAGTTTGCATTGACTACAGAAAATTAAATTCAGCAACCCGTAAAGATCACTTCCCGCTTCCATTCATAGATCAAATGTTGGAGAGATTAGCTGGGCATTCGCACTACTGCTTTTTGGATGGGTATTCTAGGTATAATCAAATACCAATAGCTCCTGAAGATCAAGAGAAGACCACATTCACATGCCCGTTTGGCACCTTTTCGTACCGACGTATGCCATTTGGCCTATGCAATGCACCGGCCACTTTCCAACGGTGTATGATGAGCATTTTTTCCGACATGGTGGAACGTTTTATTGAGGTATTCATGGACGACTTCTCTGTCTTTGGCTCTTCCTTTGATTCATGTCTACATAACTTGGCCTTAGTTTTGCAAAGATGTGAAGAAACCAATTTAGTTTTAAATTGGGAAAAATGCCATTTTATGGTACAAGAGGGAATTGTTTTTGGGCATCAAATTTCAGCAAGAGTTATAGAAGTTGACAAAGCGAAAATTGACACCATTGCTAAGTTGCCACCGCCCACCACAGTCAAGGGCATTCGAAGTTTCTTGGGTCATGCCGGATTTTACCGTCGATTTATTCAAGATTTTTCCAAAATTACAAAGCCCCTTTGTAATTTATTGCTCAAGGATGCCAAATTTAATTTTACTTCGGAATGTTTGGAGGCTTTCAGTACTTTGAAGAAGAAGCTTACCTCAGCACCCATCATAGTTGCCCCAGATTGGGAATTGCCATTTGAAATTATGTGTGATGCTAGTGACTATGCAGTTGGCGCAGTTTTGGGTCAAAGAAAAAATAAATTACTCCATGTAATTTCTTATGCCAGTCAAACATTGAACGATGCCTAGTTAAATTACTCCACCACAGAAAAAGAATTGCTTGCCGTAGTGTTTGCATTGGATAAATTCCGCTCCTATTTGATTGGGTCTAAAGTGATTGTTTATTCCGATCATGCTGCTCTGAAATATTTGCTTTCTAAGAAAGAGGCCAAACCCAGGTTGATCCGTTGGATACTCTTGCTACAAGAATTCGATCTTGAAATTCGTGACAAGAAAGGAACGGAAAACGTTGTCGTCGACCACCTATCACGGCTGGTCCAAGAGGAAGAAGGAACTATTGCCGCTGTCCCCATTCTAGAAACATTCCCCGATGAACAACTTCTCACCATCCAAACCATTGATGCTCCATGGTATGCTGATTTTGTGAATTATTTGGTCAGCAACATCGTTCCTTATGATTCTTCCCCTCAAAAAAAGAAATTTCTTTCCATGGTGAAACATTATTTTTGGGACGACCCCTACTTGTGGAAACATTGCTCGGATCAAGTCATTAGAAGATGTGTACCCGAGAATGAGATGGACAATATTTTGCGGCATTGTCACTCACTTGCATGTGGAGGGCATTTCGGAGGCACCAAAACTGCAGCAAAGGTTCTCCAATCGGGTTTCTTTTGGCCGACTTTATTCAAGGATGTCTATACCTTCGTATCCTCGTGCGATCGTTGCCAACGTACAGGTAATATTTCTAGTCGAAATCAAATGCCATTACATAATATTCTTGAGGTCGAATTATTTGATGTTTGGGGTATAGATTTTATAGATTATTATAAATAAACCCAATCCTAGACATGTATTTATAAAAAAACCCACGCACTATTTAAACATAGAAACACACCCAAAATCAACCCCAAAATCAACAGTTGTATATTTTTTGGGTGTATTTATAAATGGGTTTTGAGTGTGTGTAATGATGGGTTTTGGGTGTGTTTATAAAGTGTTTTAGATGTTGGGTTTTTTTATAATTTCAGCCCCCATTTTGGGTGTTTTAGTGAAACTCCCTAGATTTTATGGGACCTTTTCCGGCATCTATGGCAAATAAATATATCTTGGTTGCGGTGGATTATGTGTCCAAATGGGTGGAGGCCGTGGCTCTACCTACTAATGATGCTAAGGTGGTGGTGAAATTTCTCCGCAAACATATTTTTACTCGCTTTGGAACTCCACGGGCCATTATTAGTGATGGTGGTACGCACTTTTGCAACCGACAATTCAATTCCCTTTTGGCCGAATATGGAATTACACATAAGGTCTCTACACCTTATCATCTACAAACAAGTGGGCAAGTTGAAATTTCCAATCGAGAATTAAAAAAGATCTTGGAGAAGACTGTTGGAACTTCACGAAAAGATTGGTCCCTAAAGTTAGATGATGCACTTTGGGCATATCGTACAGCATTTAAAACTCCTATTGGAATGTCACCATATCGGCTAGTTTTTGGAAAAGCATGTCACTTACTAGTGGAGTTAGAGCATAAAGCCTATTGGGCAATCAAGACCTTGAATTTTGACATGGATGCTGCGGGTGAGAAGAGGATGCTTCAATTAAATGAGATGGATGAATTTCGCAACGAAGCATATGAGAATGCAAGGATTTATAAGGAGCGAACAAAAGCATGGCATGACAAACACATAGTGTGCAAGGAGTTTCATGCTGGTCAAAAAGTCCTTCTCTTCAATTCGCGCCTCAAGCTCTACCCCCGCAAGCTTCGCTCCCGATGGGCTGGCCCATTTACAGTTGTTCAAGTTTTTCCTTATGGTGCCGTTGAGATTTGTAATGAAGCCACAACTACTATGTTCACAGTCAATGGTCAACGCTTGAAGCCGTACTTGGAAGCCGACCCCATTCCACCCCCAACTCAAATCCCTTTCCGAGACACCAAGTGATCATCTTCAAAAAGTCGGGCCGAGGACTATAAACCAAGCGCTTGTTGGGAGGCAACCCAACTAGGTACTTTCGTTCCGTGTTCTTAATTTTTGTGTTTTCTCTTTATTTTCCATCCTTCTATGCCTTTACTAATTATTACATGCATTTACTTTCCACATTGAGGACAATGCTTAGTTTAGGTTTGGGGGTGTGGAATTTTGTTGTTTTTGTTGTTATTTGAGTTTTGAGTCATAAAGTAAGAAAAGAAAGAAGAAAAAAAAAACAGATTTTATGTCCCAAAGAAAGGAATTTGTGTTTCAAAGAACGTTTTTTTGATTGGTTCAAACCCCATGATGATTGCAACATGTTACAGATGTGTTACAAGAGTTGTTTTGGTCATTAGATGACTTTAAAACCCAAAAAATAGCAAAAGAGGTTATTATGTTCTTATTTTGGTCAAAATTAAATTTTCTGCATCTTTTCTTTTTTGATGTTTTTCAGGGGAATTCGAAGCCACTAACATGTTTAGAATGGTTATTATGATGATTTGAAACAGGTTTGGGGGTCTCAAGTGGTTTATATGACATTTTAGGAAGATTTGAAGCTAAAAAAAGTGGCCTAAAACCCAAAAAAGGCTAGCTGCAATCTGCCCAGAATATGAAGCTTTTTCGTCACTAATTGACTTTTCTGCGACAGTGTTCATCAGATTTTTCGTCGCTAAAGGGTTTCTGCGACGGTGTTCATCAGATTTTTCGTCGCTAAAGGTCAATTTTCCAGAATTTTTTTTATTTCATTCCAACTCATTTCAAATCCTTTCCATTTGCAATAAGAGATTTCTATGAGCTATTCTAGGTGTGTCCTCTTCCTTTTGATGAAATTTCTTTATTCTTAAGCAATTAGGACTCATAAATTCATGCATATTTGTTTTCAAACACACAAAGTTCCTTTAACTTTTGAAAAAATAAAAATTTGTTGAAGCTTTTACTTTCTCTTACAAATAGTGATGTATATGTGTTGTTTGATCATATTTCTTTAACTAGAGTGTTGCCATGAAAGTTTATGCATCATAATTAGAGCACTTCATATAGCCATGCTTCAAGTCTTTTGATGGACAAGGTAGCTATACTTGGATGATTGTGGAGAAATAGTGGAGACTACCATTGTGAGATACTTGAGCCAAATTGCCATTCATTGAGAGAGTATTTGGGATTATTCTTATCCACTATTTTATTTCTTTCAATTTAGATTGATCTCAATTAGACTTTTGAGTTGAATACTAAGAACTAATCTCTATTTTGTATGAATCATCTTATGCTTTTACTTTTGAGTTAGATGGACCTTGAGAGATGATGTTAGGCTATGCATGTTCTAACCACTAAATAAAGCATCATGTCCTACCCATTGTGTGTGCCATCAACCCTTTTGAAGCCAAACACTTAGCATTTTCTTTCATCACCCACAATATTTCCTTACCTTTTTTACCCTATTTTTAGCCATACCCTATAACTTGGGATATGCCATGGCACATTAAGACAAGGATGAAGGTTAAGCTCTACATCAACAAAAGAGGTGGCTTGTACCGAGGAAATATGTACTTAAAGTTCAAGAAAAAGAGAAAGAAAATTAAATTTTAAAAAAATTTAAAAAAAAAAAGAAAAAAAAAGTGAAGTATATCAAAAATCCTGGATGCCTTTGTGAAGTAAATTTGAAGAGCCAAGCCTTATAGCGCGATAAATGCCTTGGTATGTCTCAAGTTCTAGTTTTTCTATCCTTTCTTTCAAGACCCATAACCTAGCCCTTCATTACAACCATAGTAAATACCTAATGGATCTTTGGGGACTTCTTACTCGAAAGTGGAGGTATGTACTTCATCTATGATTCTTAGTATTTGATTTCCTTTCCATGAGATCTATTTTCAGAAATTGCCTTTTATTCATTTGGATGCATATGTGTCTTACATTTTGAGTTCTTCACCTAACTTCATTCACATATGCGGGGTAAGAGTGCAACCCTAGGTTCTGTGAGAAAATTGAGAGTTATCCAGTGAGGCCTAGAGTCAAGGCGAATTTGTACACACACCGAGTGTGGTTATCTTTAAGTTCGAATGCTTGGAGTATTGGCTTTACACTTTACACTATGGTGCATTTTATTTGTAGTGGCATAACTTTAGTTTTTGAATTGTGATTGACATTCATTGGTTATTATTAGTTTGTTGGAAGTATTGCTTTAACAAATTTGTTTTGCAAGGAGCATTTGTGGGTATCGTGATTGGTAAACCCTCAGGAGACACAACTCCTCCTACTAGGGACACCTAGAGGTTTAAAGGCTTGTGGCACATGCTAAGTGCCATCGAGGTTACCTGCGAAAGTGGTGTAGTTTAGGTTGTTTGTTTTAATTATTCTTTTTACTTTTTGTTTTGCTCGAGGACTGGCAAAAGATAGGTTTGGGGGTATTTGATAAGTCCATATTTTACATATATTTTATGCCTCCTTTACTTATTTATTTGTTAATTTTCTTGGATTAAATTGTTGGGTTTAATGTATTTTGTGAGAATTTTATAGTTGATCCTTAATATACGGCAAGGATTAATTGGAGACAAAGAAGATGTTTCTTAGAAGGCAATCAACCGGTCAAAGCTTAAAGGAGGAAGTTTGGTCAAATCCTTGTGGAATTTGGAGAAGCAATCAAAGAGATATTGGGAAAGATATTGGGAAACCTACTTTTGGTAGTATTTGATTGTAACTAGGTTAAGGATTTGTGTATTATGAATAGCATAGGGTTGGCCTCATAGAGGGATCCATACTTTCACTACCCGAAAATACCCAATTCTTGCAAAAGAGAAGTCCTGCTGCCGCCAACCACCTCGGAGCTTTTTGGGAGTTTTCGAGTTCATCTTCATGTCTACCATCAACCACTCTGTGATTCTCAATAAGTTTATCATGTTCTAATTTTCTTTTTGCTAGGGCTACGATGTAGCCTAGCCATGAATACCTTATTTCTGTGTTTATGTTAATTTGATATTATTTTCCACGTTAAGTATCTTTTACCGTTCTTAATGCTTTGAGTGCTTGATCACCACTTAATTGATTTGATGCTTGAGTTGACGATAGGAATATCCAACTTAGGATTTTGCTTCTAGTAATTGATACCACAGGTTACTTGAGTGAACTGGAAGGTTAATCGAGGCTTGTGTGATTTCCATAAATTTCCATAGAACTTAACGGGTTTGCACTTATTCCTAGTGATGAAAGATCCAAGTTGAAGCCAAAGTCTCTTGAATGCATTTTCATCGGCTTTGAAAGTGGTGTGAAGGGCTACAAGCTATGGGATCCAGTGAACCAAAAGAAGATACTCAGCAGAGATGTTGTGTTTGATGAGAAGACCATGCCTATGAACAAAGTCAAGAATTCATATGCAAAGGAGGATGTTGTTGAGAAAGAAACAACCATTAAAGTTCCGCTCAAGAAGGTGTCCAGGAAAACTTCACAAGAACAGCCAACTGAAGACGTTCAGGAGGAGGTGGAGTCTGACATTGAGGAGGAAGATGCTGGGCAACAACAACAACAAACTCAAGAAGAAGAGGCTCAAGAACTGGTGGAGCCATCATCTATAGCTCGGTCCAGGCCCAGGAGAACCATCAAACCACCTCAAAGGTTTGGATGGGACAATGACGCAGTTCACTATGCCTTAAATGCTAGTGAAGAAGAACCAACCACGTTCCAAGAGGCTGTTGAGAGCAAGGAACGAGAAAGTTGGATGGAAGCTATGATGCAAGAGATGGAATCTCTACACCAAAACTCAGTTTGGGAGTTAGTTCCTAAACCCGAAGGTCGCAAGGTTATTGGCTGCAAATGGGTGTTTAGGAAGAAAGAAGAAATGCATGAGAAGGGAGCCACCATATTCAAAGCTCGGTTGGTGGCCAAAGGATACTTGCAAAAGGAGGAAGTTGATTATGATGAAATCTTCTCTCCGGTGGTGAAACATACTTCTATACGGCTACTACTCTCCACAGTAGCTCAAGAGAACATGGAGGTGGAGCAAATGGATATGAATACTGCTTTTCTTCATGGGGACTTAGAGGAAGAAATCTACATGAGCCAACCTCAAGGGTTCATTGAAGCAAGCAAGGAAAATCTGGTTTGTGGGTTGAAGAAGTCTTTATAAGGGCTAAAGCAATCTCCAAGACAATGGAACAAGCACTTCGATTCTTTCATGATAAAGATTGGGTATAGAAGATGTGAATCAGATTGCTGTGTTTACACTCATGCATTCAAGGATGGTAATATCATCCTTCTGCTTCTTTATGTTGATGACATTCTAATTGCATGTAAAGAGATGTCAAAAATCTAGGAATTGAAGACGTTGCTTGGAAGGGAGTTTGACATGAAGGATCTTGGTTCTGCACAAAAGATCCTAGGTATGGAGATAAGGAGAGACAGAAATGCAGGCAAGCTATGGCTGTCACAAAGTAAGTACATTTCCAAAGTACTTGAAAAAATCAATATGATGGATTGCAACCCTGTGTCTACTCCTTTGGCGGAGCATTTTAAGTTAAGTGCACAAGAATGTCCTTCTACGGATGAAGAGAAGGAAGAAATGAGCAAAGTTCCATATGCAAGCTTGGTAGGGTGTCTCATGTATGCAATGGTGTGCACACGCCCCGACTTAGCCCAAGCCGTAAGTGTGGTGTCGAGATACATGGCGAATCCTGGAAAACAACATTGGACAGCAGCAAAGTGGATTCTCAGATACTTGAAGGGCACCAAGAGGCTTGGGATATTGTTTGAAAG